TGTCATTACTGCAAAAAGAAGGGGCATATTAGAGCTAATTACTTTACCTTGAAAAATATAAATAAAGTTGTTGGTGCTACAGAGAAAGGGAAGCAACATGTTAATACAGTGGAGGTTGATGTTGTAGAGGATGAGCAAAAGTGGTGGATAACTTCTTGTGATTTTTGACGGAGATACCAAATCTAGTGATGAATAGGTTCTTGATTCGGCTAGTACTTTTCATATGTGTCCTAACAGGGACTGGTTTTCTACATATGAAGAAGTTTCGAGAGGTGCTGTGATTATGGGAAACAACATTCCTTGCAAAATTGTTGGAGTTGGTACAATTAGAATCAGGATGTTCGATGGAGTTGTCAAAAGACTTACAGATGTAAGACATGTCCCAGAGCTAAAGAGGAATCTCATATATTTGAGTACACTTGACTCAAATGACTATAGATACATCGGTGAAGGTGGAGTTTTGAAGGTGAGCAAGGGTGCTCTTGTTGTCATGAAGGGGCATAAAAACTCCATACAATTGTACATTTTGCATGGTTCCACAGTGATTGGGGATGCAGCAGTTTCTACTTCTTCTTTGACAGATGATGAAGTTACAAAACTTTGGCATATGAGGTCGGGCATATGAATGAGAATGAGATGGCAGAGTGGAGTAAAATGGGACTTCTTGATGGGCAGAAGACNATTACTTGTTGATAGTAATTGATGAATTCTCCAGGAAAATTTGGGTATTCTTCTTAAAGTAGAAGAGTGATGTGTTTGGGACCTTCAAGGAGTGAAAAACATTGGTAGAAAAGCAGACCGAAGAGCAAGTGAATGTCTACGCACTGATAATGGGTTAGAGTTTTGTTCAGATGAATTCAATAGCTTCTGCAGGGCGAAAGGCATCTTGAGACACTTGAGGTAACCTAAGTCTTTTTAGGCTGAAGCTGCTACCACAGCTTGTTTTCTGATTAATCGCTCACCCTCAGTTGTCATTGATAAAAAGATATCAGAAAAGGTATGGTCAGGTAAACGTTCTTACTATTCTGATTTGAAAATTTTTGGGTGTCCGGTTTATGCTCATGTGGATAATGGGAAGTTGGAGTTTAGGTCTAGAAAGTGCATTTTTCTTGGATATAAATCAGATGTGAAGGAGTATAAGTTGTGGTGTCCAAAGACTAGAAAGGTGGTTGTTAGTAGAAATGTTGTATTTGATCAACTTGCTATGATTTGTGGTTCATCTCTTGGGGATTTTGATAAAATTGAGGAGCAGAATTATCCAACTCATGTAGAGTGGAAATTGGTTCAAAGGAAAAATCAGAGGTCGAAGAACAATCTACTACAGATGAGTCAAATTCAAGGTTGACAGAAAATAATACTTTGCCCATACCACCAGCATCACAGTATTCTATAGCTAAGGACAGACTTCGCAGACAAATTATACCTCCACAGAAGTATGGGAAAGTAGATTTGGTTGCTTATGCATTAAATGTTGCTGAAGACAATGATTCCACTGAGGAACCTGCTATATATTCAGAGGCAGTCAGCTGCAGTAATTCTAGCGAATAGATGATTTCTATGTAGGAGAAGATGGAGTCATTGAACAAAAATAACACTTGGGATTTGGTGAAATTACCTAAAGGTAAAAAGGTGGTTCGTTGTAAATGGGTGTTTAAAAGAAATGAAGGTATGTTATGGATTGAAAATGCTAGATACAAGGTTAAATTGGTGGCAAAAGAATATAGTTAGATTCCGGGTGTTGATTTTACAGATGTGTTCTCATGCGTTGTGAAGCACGGGTCTATTCGGGCTTTACTTGGAGTGGTGACTAGTAATGACTTCGAGTTTGAGCAGATGGATGTCAAGACATTATTCTTACATGGAGAACTTGAGGAGAGCATCTATATACAACAACCAAAAGGGTTCATAATTTCAGAGAAGGAAGACTATGGCCCTGTTTGAGCCATATTATTTTTTTCATTCTTATTCTTCTACTCATTTTAACCACATATTTTTCAATAAAATAATATTTTTCATCATATCAATAACTTTTCCTTCTTTTTTAACCACATATTCTCCATCGCATCAAACAAAAAAATGCATTATTGTGGAAATAATATGGCTCAAACAGGGGCTTTGTGTGCTTATTGAAGAAATCACTATATAGATTGAAGCAATCACCGAGGTAGTGGTATAAGATATTTGATACAGTCATGAGTAGACTCATGACTTTGATAGATGTAATTATGATAGTTGTGTTTACTTCAGAAAAGAAAGTTGTGATCTTGTGGATCAATTATATATTTGCTATTATATGTTGATGATATGCTTATATTAGTAAAGGATGAAACAGAGGTCAGAAATGTAAAATTACAACTCAGCAAGGAGTTTAACATAAAGGATTTGGGTGCAGCAAAGAAGATTCTTGGAATAGAGATCTTGAGGGATAAAAAGGCTGGCAGATTGTATTTGAGTCAGAAGGGGAACATTGAAAAGATGCTTGAAAGATTCAATATGGTGAAAGTTAAGGTTGTCAGTACTCCTTTAGCTGCCCACTTCAAACTATCATCTAACTTGTGTCCGCAGTCAGATGAAGACATTGATTATATGTCTTGGGTTCCTTACTCCAATACAGTTAGTTGGCTTATGTATACTATGGTTTGTACAAGACCTGATTTGGCACAGGCAGTTAGTGCAGTTAGCAGATACATGGCTGATTCTGGCAAGGAACATTGGAAAGCAGTAGAGTAGATCTTCATATACTTGAGGGGCTCTTCAAATGCT